AATCAAACTGGTTTCAAAAAAATTCCTTAACGTTGAATTTGAAAAGGTAAGTAAATGACTGTTCATATGTATAGACTTAATTGTTGTTTGTTTCAGAATAATTGGGTGGTATGTTATTTGTATTTATATATTAAATTTCACGGATTTAGCTCAACCCACAAGGAAGGAGTTGTACCATTAGTTTGCATGGACCATGGTCTGCCAGTGGTGTAGCTTTCATTAGAATTAATATATCATTTCCCCCTCAATATCCTGATAAATTTCCTCCAAATTTTAATATTCAAAGGACAGGAATGATATCTATAATGAATAGAACGCATATGTTGCAAAATTTAAATAGTATTGCTTTATCCCATGTATCTCAAAAAAGACCATGTTTAGAGGCTTGCATACGTTATTTGCTTGGTGAGCAACCCAAGGAAGTGGCACAAGATCGTTATGGAAAAGATGATTCAGATGATGAAAATTTATTGAATTCAACCAGAAGATCTTATGATAAAAATTTAGTTTATATTTTAGGTGATAAAGATGACAACAATAATGTTCCTTTTCCAATGTTATGTGGAGCTCGATTTTCTATGAATGGTGAGTTGTTATTGTTATTGTTGTTATTATTATTATTATTATTATTATTATTATTTGTTTGTTTATTTATTAATATTAATACTCTTTATTTTAGGTCAACTTATTTGCTTTTTTTCAAGTCTTAGATCACCTGATGCAAGCAATCAAATTACATCAATAACCTCAAGAAACAAAATAGATTCTAGTATGCGTTCCCGTTACACATATACACATCCACGCTCTTTTGATTCATGGGAACAATATAAAATAATTTCACAACTTCCACGTCCGGTGACAAGTTTTGGACAATATAATTATGATGCATCTTATGAAGACGATGAAAATAAAGACAATTTATTACCAATTAATTCATTGTATTTTAAATCAAAGGTATTTATTTTCTTGAAATTATTTCTATTTAATTTAATTTTTTTTTTAAAAAAAAAATGATACCTTGCTTATTTTTGATATTTTATACTATTGTTATTATTATTTGTAAGAATGATACATTACATAATGCTCTAAATTCAACAGATCATGTCACATTATTTGAATCGACAAAATTGGATAAGTCTGGTCCTATTACACATATTTATGATTTATCAAAATGTTTGCCTGTTAATATGAAATTAGCGAAACAATACATGTAAGTTTAAGTTATCCAATCTATCCAGCTATCCATTTTTTTCTCTAATATCTTGTGTAATAATAATAATGTTTATTATTATTATTTTTTATTTATTATTAAATAGTATTTATGGAAATGATCCTGCGGTAATATGTAAACATAACGCTAAAGTTGCAGCATGCAATAATCGACCTGATTTGGAACAAGTTTGGTTGCTTGCTGCTTTAATTCTAACACAAGCAATTCCCACTACAAAATTTATTAAAAATTCATTTAGTAGTAACGATAATATGTCCTTGTTTACTGGAATTCATCACCATTATAATAAATATTCAAATAATAATAGTAAAAGAAGTGAAATTGGCGGTGATGGGTTTGAGTCGACAACAACGATGATGATGAATGATGGATTATTTAGAAAAGTTAATTGGGGATTTCATCCTTTGGGCAATAAACTTGTCAAACATTTGTTAGTTATATAGTAATAATAATATTATTATTAAATAAAAAATTATATAATGTTAATATCATTTATATAAATTTCTAAATATATATTTTATAGGTTTGATCATTTTAAAAAAATTGGCGATATTCAAACATTGGCTATGTTGTCTTGTGTATTTGATGAACCTTTTCCACCAAAAGTTAAATCTTCTTGGTCATTTGAACTTCAATCCTGGGTATTTATTTATTATTTGATGAAATTTTATTAATTTTCTTATAATAACAAAAAAAAAATTTTTTTATTTTCTTGTTTCCTCACTTTCACGTTCACATATCTTTTTTAGAATTCGCCTAATTCAACAAATGGAACAACATCAACCAATACAGATTATTTTAATTATCATACTCGTTATCCAGATAAATGTTCTCCGACAGGTTATACTAATCGAAACCCCATTTATTCTGGAAATCAATCAATATACGGTGAATCATATAATTCACATAAAGGATCTTGGGGAACTGTGTCAGCATATAATTATAACAACAACAATTATAATAATAATAATGGCACTTTTATCGACGGCAGTCTACAAACAGGAAATTCACCAAAACAACTTACTTCAAGCACAACAGGTATATACGGACATTCAGAAGGCTCAGGTGCATATATTACAATGCCTACACCAAACCACAAACCAAATCATCACCGAAGATCTACTTTTGGTGGTCCAACCCGTGATGGAAATATTTTCTCTTCTAGTTTAGGAGCAGTTACAGCATCATCACCTCCACGAACACCCAAAAAGGATAGTCCAGCGATAGGAGGTGGGGGAGGATTTGCAGATAATTTTGGATGGGGAGGAATGGGAAGTGGTGTAAATCACGCCAACGAAAAGAATTTAGATAACGAACGTAAACCAAATGAGATTAATATAACTATGATGAATTATGAAGAATTTGATGATGAAAGAAGGTAAAAAAATTATTTTTTAAAAAAACTTTTCCTTCATCCCTGCAAAGAAAAAACCATTTTAATTTAACAAAAAAAAAATTTTTTTAAATAATTAGACCAATATTCGTACCATTATTAGATAATGATAGAAACACAAAAGAGATACATGACCAATATCGTTTGGCATATTCAGAAATTTTATATCATTGGGGACTTTATGAAGAAAGAACTGAACTTTTAAAATTTATGAGTTTTGTAAAAACGAATGTAGGAAGTCCAATAGGAGAAAGGGAGGAGCCATTAGGTAAGAAGGAAGAAGTGTTAATTAATTAATTTAGTTAATATAATATTTGTTCAGACAAAATCAAATTTACAAAAAAATAACTATTTTGCTATCGTATCGCCATAATCATATTTAATTTATAGAAATTGTTACGCGTTGTTATCTGTGTGAAGCAGAATTAAAATCTGGTACAAAATGTACAAAATGTCGTGTAATTGGTATTAGATGTTCAATCTGTCATCTAGTCGTTAAAGGTATGTGTGTATTTATATGTATTCTGAAAAATATTTTATTCTCCTTAATTAATACTATTTATTTGTTTAGGATTATCGAATTTTTGTGTAAAATGTTCACATGGTGGGCATACAAATCATCTTAATGAATGGTTTCTTGATGGTAATACGGAATGTCCAACTGGATGCGGGTGTATTTGTTATTTGCAAGATGGTGGATTTGGATTTGATGATAGATTCTACTAATGTAATATATATTATTTCACTTATATACATATATCAATTATATCAATCTTTTAAAGATTGTGTTTTATTGTAAATATGCACAACAAGAATGTTTATAACGAATTTTATTATTTAATTTAATAAGTTATTTTCTTTCAAAATTTGCGCCCCCATTTATGGGATGCAGAAGAAAGAATTTTATTGGTACATTAATAAATTTTTGTATATATATAATATCAAAGGTCATGTATATTCATTTGTCAGATCTTTTTTTTTGGTATTGAATTATGTCCGCATCAATATATGATTTCTCTGCTAAATTTGTTTTTATTAACAAAATTATAATAATTTCAACCAAGTTACATGTGCTTTGTCTAAAATAAAAAAACCAATATAAATAAAAATTTCGATAATAATGATGTTTATACCAATATCATTATAACCAGTTTGTTTATCCATGCATCCTTCCGTCTTTAAATAGTAATGTCTTAATTCCTCTGCTAGCTATGATCAAAATCCAAAGTTTCTCAAACACACACACACGCATATTCAAAATAAATTGGATTTATAGAATTAATAATTACCCTATTACACAGAAATCCAGGAATCCAGGAAAATTAAGGAATCCGTTAACCTAGAAATCAGCCAACCAGAAATCCAATAGAATCGCTGATTTTTGACCAGATAAACCAATCAAATCACAACGACCAGACCCTCAAATGCTAACCGTAGGCCAAGTTCAGAGAACAACGCGGGCACCAAACGAATGATTTACTTAATAACTTTATATAGAATTATTATTAAACCACATCAAGGATAGCACCTTTAAACGTTATCCCCATCCCCCATCCCCAACGATCAGACCCAGAAACCCGATAAATGTTGATATCCACTGAAAGGGTCGTACAATGTAGGTAACTAAACGAATGATTTGCTTAATAGTTTTATATATAATCTATTATCAAACCATATCAAGAATAGAACCGTCGGCCATCGTACCCTCTCGTTTAATGCAAATTACAACAACTTTAAGAACCAGAACGGCCATTAACAAGTCCAGAAATCCCTAAGAAATCTGTCACCCTGCCTCCTCAAGATTTAAAATCCGTCGTTAGAGCAGGATACTAACTCATTAACCCCACCCTGGAAGGCTTTGACACTATAATAAGTAAAAATAGTAAAATTTAATTTTTGCATAACCGTATATGCGTATGTGTGTGTTTGCATATGTATATATTTTTTGGAATAATGAAGAAATGGGGAAAAAAAAGAATTAGTGTGTATTGTGGCTGTAATAGGCATGGGTGTATGTCACATTTTTTTTCCTAAATAAAAAATAAATCACCAAATTCACCAAATAAACGATTGTGTACTGATTTTTTTGTTGAAGAGAGAACTAAATTTTTTGTGGAAGAAAATTTTTTTTCGCCGAGTGAAACATTTTATGATCGTGTCATTCTTGAAATGGGTTGAGTTCTACTAACCAAAACTGTGACCTGCCACCTGAATATTACAAATTACATGACCATTAAACATATAATTATTACCAAGCAACTTTCATTCCTTTATACGTTTCTATCCTTGGAATATCATTGAAAGTATTTTTTTCAAATGACAATTCAATATATTGATGAAGTAGTCAATTCATTTTAAATCCCGATTCCTAAAGCTTCAGATGGTTCTAGAAACGTTCATTATCGCTAAGGTCATTCCATTATTTTTGGTACTATCAATTAAAGGATTTAGACTTTTTTTAGAAACATTTAAAGCATCTAAATTAATATTTACTACTAAACCAGCTTCTTCTCGTTGTTGTTGTTGATTATCTAAGATTATATTGAGATTAAAATACATCCTGATCCTGTATACCAAGATCAACTATTTAGAAGAAGAATTTACATTATGATGTAGTCTCGAACAAATAATACTGTCATCGTTCCTTTATCTTTAATTGAGAATTAGATCTCAATGATTGGATGGCCCATTTTCATGAAATCATCTATTATAATGTTTAAAGTTAATAAATATTTCTTCACTTGACGATCTTCGAGTAACCTCTATCACTTGTATTGTAAATGGTGACAGTGATGTTGTTGTTGAGGAAGAAGTTGACATAAAATGTAACTTTTTGTGAAGCATATGAAGAAGTGAAGCATATGAAAAAGAATATTTGCTATGATAACTCTGTTTAATAACACCATCTTTTAACATCCTAGCAAGTTTATCTGTTACTTCTTTTGTTTTAGAAACGATACCTTTTTTTTTTCAATATATGATTAAGTATAATTGCATACTAAAGCCAGTAATAGCTTGTTGTAAATTATCTTCAGAGCCATACCAATAATGCTTTTAATAAAATTAAATATGTTTATTAATCTTCCTTGTCTTAGATTCTTCATCTAGATACGCGGCAGAGCTGAGTATAGGGACATTCAGTATGGTATAACTCTTGCAAAACGTATGGTATGGTATTGTATAAGTGTAATAAAATGGTTGTATACCAATGCTTAAATCTAACATACTTCCCTTCACGCCCACCAAAAAAGGATTTAGAATAAAATTTTGTGTGACTTGGTATGGAAAAATATGGACTATACCATACCATACCATACATTCTGCAAGAGTTATACCATACTGAATCTCTCCCTACCGAAAAAAATATTTACTCATTTTTAACGTTACACCAATTTTCACTATATACATCAACGAGTCATCATAATAATGTCAACATTTAAAATTTACAATCTCATCAATCCTCCTGAATTGTTGTCACCAAATTATGATTATATAAGAAAACCAAGTTAATAATGAAGATTCTAGTTTATATTTAGATACGGACGATGATAGTAATAATAATAATAACAACAAGATTATTACAAAGAAAAATTCCTCCCGCCACCTCTCTTCTCCTGGTGTTATAATTTACAAACATAAATGCAGTACATGCAAAAAAAATTTAATCGATTGGAACATTTGGTCAGTCATAATAGAACACATACTGGAGAAAGACCTCATGAATTGGGGGATGTAACACAAGATTTTCCAGGCCAGATGAACTTTCGAGACATTGTAGGACTCACAATAAAAATAAGAAAAAATATTATAGAAATAAAAAAATTAGTGCTTTGTCATTTAAAATTAGCGGTGTCGACTTTGGTTAATAAATGTCATCACTTTATATTTGGTTAATTAATCGATAATGACCGTTAACACTTTACACTTTTACATTCACACTCTAACACACCAATAAAAAATTTTAGTTTTAGGTTTACACTTAAATATTTAAAAACTTTTACAAAACGTAAACAAAAAGGTTTACACTTAACAAAAACTTGAAACAAACCTTTGCTTCTTTACCGAGCAAAAATTTTACTAGCATTTTGTTTCTTCGAAAGAAGAAAAACGACTGTACAGCCGTTAAAAAATTTAAGCAACCAAAGAAAGTCAAAGTAAATAAATAAAAAAGGAACTTTAGAGAAACCTTTGTCGTTTCTAAAAGGGTTACATTATTTATTGTAAACCGCACCATAAAGTGTGCTAACAGATTGTTGAAGCTTTCTAGAAAGACCATTTTACACAGTTGTTCAATGATAAGGCAAAATAGAGAAAAAAAAACAAAAACATTAAAATTGCAATTAAAAACATTAAAATTGCGATTAAAGTCATTAAAATTATGATTAAAATTGCAATTAAAATAAATGTAGAATCTATTTCAGAGGAGGAAAAATGTTTAAACATCAACTTAAAAGGGAATATATTTTATATGATTATAATTCTTTTCAAAATATTGAATTTATTGATGGTGGATTATTTGAACCAATTTCTTGTGCATTTTCAAAGCATTACCAAGAACTTGTAGCATTAAAATCCATTAATATTGATCAACAATATACTTTTGAACAATTTCTTAATGAGCCATGGCCATTTCTTTAAATGAAAATCAGGATTCGATCCAGTCTTTTTGTCAAACAATTGCTTGGAATCCTTCCATAGATTTTCAATCTCTTGTGAATATTTTTCTATCACCAGTAAGTTTGCTTAATTTATTTTTGAATTGGCTTTTTCTTGGTCCTATTTTGTTGACTATTTGATCAATTTTTCAATTTATAATATAGAATTGATTTTTATAAGTTTTACTGAAAATAAGTGAATTAGTAATATTTTTATAATGTTCCAACATAAGGTGGGATTATTTATCTTGTTTCACATATTCTTGAATGTAAAACAATTCAAACAGCGTTTTTTTATTGATAAGCAATGCAATATGATAATTGTTAATTACATTTGCATAAAGTTTGTCAGTAAAAAAATAGATTAGTATTTAATAATAAGATTCATTGCATATTATTTTCCTTCTATGGATTTCTGTTTTTTGTCAGGTAGTAATGCACCTTCATGCTGCTTTCTTTTTCTAATGTTTATTATTTTTCTTTCTTCTTGGTAAATTTCATTGGTAATTCTTTCTTTTCTTAGATAAGCTTCAAGTGTCTGAGTATCATTTATTTTGAAAACATAAGGTGCAATCTTTTTTCCTTGTTCTTTCTTCAAAACACTTCTAATTGTTTGGTTCCATGGTAGATCTGATATAAATGAGTTTCATATTAATTATTTTTATATAGGGATAGTTCTATATATCACTAAAGATAACAAATGGGATATTATAAAACTATTAATTATGATCACATTACTGATGACTAAATTTTGATCCCTGAAACTTTGTCTGGTTTTGTTGCAGCATGCCCCAAATTTCATCTTTAAATATCTTTACCCAATTTGGTAATAATCAACAGTTAGATATAGAATGCGGATAATAAAGTACTATGGATAATAAAATACTGTGGATAATAAAATATTGTGGATAATAAGGAAGTACAAGTCATTACTGTTATAATGACATTGAATTTTATTTATTTACAAAAAATAAAATGTTAAATTCACACAATCTATTAGATTTTTGCACAATTATTATTTTTTTATAATGTGTCTTTATCTCTCTGTATCTATCACATCACATTTTTTTATGTACAGTATATATAAAAATATTAAAAATAGTAATAGGTTTGTTTATTATATTCAGCCCAATCAAAATTCTTTTTTATGTGATAAAATCAAAATGTGATTGACGCAAATCATTACCAAATATGAAAATGACTGCTATGCTGTGCAACATCATAAAATAGATAAAATTGCTTAAAAATATCCATGAATTATAATTTAAAAAAAAACTGATTTAAAACAATGTTTTCGGCAACAAAAGATTTCATGAACAAAGAAGCACCTCCAAATTATGTTGCAGGCTTGGGTAGAGGGTGTGTGTCTAAAATTATTTATACAAATGTTTGATGTTTTGAATGCTGATTTATTCATCGAATTGATTACTTTTTTTTTATTTTAATTTCAAGTGCAACTGGTTTTACCACACGTTCAGATATAGGGCCTGCCAGAGAAGGACCTACTGATTTCAGGTGAGTTTTATGGTTTACGATTTTTGAAATATTAAATATATATATATATAAATCCGTTTAATCAACAAAATTGTCTATAAAACCTCTTTCAATTTTCTTGACCATTAAAAATATGTGCCTACTTTAAGTGGATCTGAAAGAGGTAAACCATACAAAATTTAAGATTCAATTAACATGTATTTGCTAAATCATGACTTTTGACAACTACTAGTGATGCATTACAAAAGAAGGCTCAACAAGATGATGATGACGATGATGAAAGATTCCAAGATCCCGATAATGAAACAGGTCTTTTTGCTTCTGCACCATATGAAGAAGATGACGAAGAAGCAGATAAGATTTACGAAGCAATTGATTTGAAAATGGATGAGCGTAGAAAAGCTAGAAGGTTTGCAATCATATATAAATATTTTTTATTTTTATTTTTATTTATTTTCCTTTTGTTTAATTACAGAGAAGCTCGTGAAAAACAAGAATTGGAAAAATATCGTGCAGAAAGACCAAAAATTCAACAACAATTTGCTGATTTAAAAAGAGGCCTTGCTGCTGTTACAGATGTTGAATGGGCAAATTTACCAGAAGTTGGTGATCTTGTTGGAAAAAATCGTAAAAAAACTAATTTAAGAGAAAGGTGAATTCTTCAATTTATTATGATTTTTAAAATTTTTTATAAATATATAAATATAAAATTAATAATGTATTCTATGCCATTTATTAGATATTATGCTGTCCCAGATTCACTGTTGGAAAAATCTAGAGAAGATAATCAATATATTACCACTTTGGACGCTCAACAACAAGTATGATTAAATAAATGACTTGGATAGATTATTTGATATATATTAAATTTAATTATAAAATTTATCCATTATTTTTTTTTTAGAAATTTGGCGGTTTCCAAACACCTGCACCAGATTCTGGAATGATGACTAATTTTATCGAGATTGGACAAGCAAGAGATAAAGTTCTAAGTTTGAAATTGGATCAAATTTCAGATTCTGTTAGTGGTCAGACTACTGTTGATCCAAAAGGCTATTTAACAGATTTAAATAGTGTAGTTATTAAAAGTGATGCTGAAATAGGGTACGCATTTCATTATTTGAGGATATTTATTATGTAATTGAAAAAATGATATTATGATTTTTATTAAAAAATTTTTTCGCATTTTAGTGATATCAAGAAGGCTCGGCTTTTATTGAATTCGGTAATTTCAACAAATCCAAAACACGCGCCTGGTAATTTTATATACAACTTTTTACATGATAATCTTGTCTTCTATTATTTTTAAAATATTAAAATAGGGGTTTTTTAACTCTTCCAAAAATTATTTATTTAGGTTGGATTGCAGCAGCACGTTTAGAAGAAGTTGCTGGTAAATTATCACAAGCTAGAACTATAATCGCTAAAGGCTGTGAAGAATGTCCTAAAAATGAGGACGTATGGTTGGAAGCAGCTCGCTTGAACAATGCTGATACTGCTAGAACTATATTAGCAAATGCTGTTAGGCATCTTCCACAATCAGTTAAAATTTGGTTGCAAGCTGTAAAATTAGAAACTGTTCCTAAAAATCAAAAACAAGTTCTTAGGAGGGCGTTAGAATTTGTACCCAATTCTGTGAAACTTTGGAAAGCCGCTGTCAATATGGAAGAAGACCCAGCTGATGCTTGTATATTGTTGGGTCGTGCAACTGAATTGGTTCCTCTTTCTGTTGATTTGTGGTTGGCGCTTGCAAGACTTGAGAGTTATGAAAATGCCAAAAAAGTCCTTAATCGTGCTCGTACTTTTATACCCACATCCCATGAAATATGGATAGCAGCAGCTCGCCTTGAAGAACAACAAGGAAACGAAAAAATGACAGACAAAATCATTGCTCGTGCAGTAACTGTCCTATCAGAAAAGGGTACTGTTTTAGGTAGAGAGCAATGGTTACAAGAGGCTGAAAAATGTGAAAAAGAGGGTAGCATTGGAACTTGCCAAGCCATGGTAAGAAATACTATTGGTATGGGAATTGAACAACAAGACAAAAAAGCTATTTGGATGGAAGATGCTGAAAGTTGTGTGTCACATGGCTCAATTGAAACCGCTAGAGCTATATATGCTCAAGCGTTAAAAACTTTCCCTGGTAAAAAATCAATCTGGAGAAGAGCTGCCTTTCTTGAAAAGTCGCATGGCACAAGGTAAGAAAATTTAATTATTATCATTAAATAACTTTTTTATGTTTATTTATTGACTTGGTAAAATAAAATAAATTTTTAGAGAATCCTTGGAAGAATTACTTCAACGTGCTGTAAGATTTTGTCCACAAGCTGAGGTCCTTTGGTTAATGGGAGCTAAAGAGAAATGGTTATCTGTTAGTATAAATACAAGTTTTTTATTTATTTTTCCCAACTTGTATACAACAAATAATAATTTTAATAATATAACTATTTAATTCAACGTAGGGTGATGTTAATGGTGCAAGATATATTTTAACTGAGGCTTTCAAAGCCAACTCAAATAGCGAACAAATATGGCTAGCTGCTGTGAAACTAGAAGCTGAAAATGGAGAATATGAACGTGCAAGAGTTTTGTTACAAAGAGCTAGAGAACAAGCAGGCACAGAAAAAGTATGGATGAAATCCATTGTGTTGGAACGTCAACTTAATAAGATAACAGAAGCTTTGTCTATGTTGGATGAAGCTTTACAAAAGTTCCCTACTTTTGATAAACTTTGGATGATCAAAGGACAAATCGAAGACGAAAATGGTGACATACAAACAGCAAGGGCGACCTACTTAAGAGCTGTAAAAAATTGTCCAAAATCGGTCACTTTGTGGATTTTGGCTTCACGTTTAGAAGAAAAGGCAGGAATATTAATAAAAGCTAGGGCTACTCTAGAAAGAGGCCGCTTATTAAATCCAAAAATACCTGAATTATGGTGCGAATCTATTCGAGTTGAATTAAGAGGTAACAACGTTAATATGGCAAAGGCCCTATTGTCAAAAGGTAAACTATTCAAAAAATACTTTCATTTAATAAAAATATTTTTTTAAAAAATACATAATGTTATTTACAATCAAATGTCATTTTCTTCATATTATTTATTAGCTTTACAAGAATGTCCAAACTCAGGTTTATTGTGGTCAGAGGCAATCTTTATGGAACCTCGACCACAACGTAGAACCAAATCAGTAGATGCCTTAAAAAAATGCGATAACGATCCAATAGTAATTACCACAGTGGCACGACTATTTTGGTTAGAGCGTAAAGTCGATAAAGCACGTACATGGTTTGAAAAGGTCGTAAAAGTGGATCCTGATTGTGGTGATTCATGGGGTTGGTTCTATAAGTTTGAATGTCAACATGGAACAGAGGTATGATATATTTAAAATTTTCTTTTTCTTTTTTAAAGATAAGTTAAAAGAATCTTACATAAAATAATTTCTCTCTAGAAACTACAAGAAGACGTGATATCACGATGTGTTGCTGCTGAACCTCACCATGGTGGATATTGGCAATCAGTTGCAAAAGATATGAAAAATGTTGGCAAAAATACGGAAGAGATTTTAAAAATTGTTGCTAATGTTCTTCCATAATAATACCACGATATGTTGAATGTTGTTGGTTTTTTTTCTTTTTTTTATATGTTTAATTTTATTTACGAATTAGGATAGTAGTAAATTGATATTTTTTTCTATATGTAATACATGTAATAATTATTTTTTACCCAACCACATAATCATGCATATTTATGCTTTCGCGTCATTTACCGGATCATCGTATTATTTGTATTTCTCTTTTTTTTTCCAACTATAAATAAAAAATGGATATTAATTTAACAACAGGCTCAACAGACTTGTTGGATGTTGAAAATATTGAATATTCTTTTCCTTTACTTATTGCGTCGATCATATTTAATTGGTCTTTTTCACTAGCATCTTTTGCTACAATTACTCTTCCTACTTGGATCTATAAACTTCTTTCGTGGTCATTCACATTGCAACTCAATTTTACAACATTATTAACCGGTGACACGTTAATGTTAGAAAAAGAAAGATCTTTTTATATTGTGGTTGATGGTCATGTCCAAGTATTTGTGAAAACTGTTAATGAAGAAGAAATAGCATTGGATCCATTTGAAAGTGATGATTATAATCGTGGCTATC